CCGCACCCCACCCCTCCTCGCCGGCCAAGGCCTGGCTGGCGCCAATCGGCAGCAGAGGAAGGCGGGCCCGAGGGGCGGAGCTTAGGGACGCGTCCTTCCTGGAACGAAGAAGGGAACCCGCGGGATTCTCTTCCACCGGAAACGGCAGGCGTCCGCGCAATAGCAAGGTTTCGAAGCCTCGGGATTAAGCCTACCTTATACGCGGTTCCAAAATTTAGTAGTAAAAACACCAAACCGTCGGCAAACCTTGCTTAGTAACTCCCACTTATTTATCCAGCCCAGTCGCTGCCTCATCTCTTCCGCTTGTTCTGCGCATGCTTCTTACTACTAAACAGTTACGGGTCCTCCGATAGGACAGAGTTGTGCTAGAATCGCTTTTGAAGGTGGACGGTTGAACCCAAGATCTTGGAAGGAGATTAAGAGGAGAATGCTGCCGTATTCTTCTTTAGGAATGAGCGACAAGTACTTTCTAGGAGTGTGAAAACAGTTTCTTCCCGGTTATGCATCGTCTTTTATTTCCTTCCAAGTTAATTAGTTTGCGTTTGAGCAGGAACTCCTACGTACTGATGTGACTACCCATGTAAATGCACTTCTATCAAAATGGGCAGTGTGTTCAGTACCCACCCCAAGGACAGGCAAGGTAACCGTATTTTACTTTAGTAAAAGTACCTGTTAGTATTTTTTTAATGAAGCTTTTAAAAACAAACAAAGCATTAAAGCGGAGGGAGGAGAAAAATAACTTAGTACGTGAATCCGGAGAGGTAGCTGTGGCACCAAGATTAATCCAATTTTTATCACATTAAGTTTTGTGCATCAAAGTTCATGTTACCAAATACGTGGCATGAGCATAATCCTGAAAGGACTGTAGATGCAGCTGTTGTGAGGAAGGTCGAATAGTGAAAGGAGGACAAAGAGACAGATTAGATAGCATTAGCAACCATCAAGAAAGCAGTGAGGTGTAGGTAAATTCTCCCTTCATGTCACACTCTATTCCTGGAGATTTTATGGACACATCTATGGAAGTGGGTTGCCACAGCCTGTTTCTGGGATGCTTTTTGACATTCCGGTCTAGACCTGGTATTTCCTGGTGGTCTCCCATCAAGTGCAAGCCAGATCTAACCCTGCTTATTTTTGAAATCAGCCACTGTCAGCTAGGAGCTACCACCTAGCTGTGCTACAAAATAATAGTTTGCTGTAATTATTGTAACATTTGAACTTTGCACCCATTTCAAAAACTTACAAAACAGTCACTCAACCAATACACTGTTGCAAACGCAAGACAAGAATACAGTATGCATTGAGACATCTCTTATAAACTTGAGATTTGAAATCAGGCTGTTCAGGGATGATGGGAGGCTTTTTGCAGATGATGGGGCTTGTGGTTTAACACATCTGGAGGCTGTGTTTCGGGAAACTGCTCTACACCATATTGCATATTAATGCATTGTGGAGATGTCACCACTGATTAAACATTACAGAGTTGGTAATACTGTATGAGTACAGAAGGCCAGCTGGCAATCCAAATGGACCTTAGAAACAGCATTCTCCATTGGTCCTTTTCCACTGGTGGATTCTGATGAATTTACCTACTAACCATAGCAAACAATACACAGCAGAATCTAACTATCCTTTTAAATTTCCAACAATGCTCTGGAACTGCTTTTCCCAAACAAGTGTCCTTCTGACTAGTTGGATTACAACTCCCAGGACACGCTGGCTGGAAATAGACATCCATTCAATTAAAGAACATCAGAGTTGTTGAGAGTTGGGCAGAATACAGCTTTAATAAATTATTATTAGGTTGAAGAAAATTGTTCTGGAGCAGCATGATATGGGGGACGTTGTGGGAAATTAAGGGGACATTCAGAGTAAACAAGAGTTGGGGCATTAGCAGCTCCCCAAGAATTCCACATACAAATACTGGCTCACTCATCGTGAATTCATTATTTTTAATTCTTAATTTACAAAATGAGAAATATCAGTTCCTACCATTCTCATTTTCTGTTCTGGAAATGCTACCACATAATTCTAGATTAAAGGAAGCTACTGAGAACGATCAGTTTGCTGAAAGGTGGTAGTAGAAAGCATTATTTCAGAAGTGTTAAGTCCACTAGTGAATTGGGGAGTCATTGTTTATATAAAATATATTTGCTGTTATATCTGTATTTATTCAAGCTATTGAGTTATTTTCTTTGTAAATTTGACTTGACAAACTTGTAGCCAGTTTAATGGGAAAGTTCAGAAAGTCATAAAACAGAACAACTTTTTTCCTAAAATGGGCAAGAAAAGAAGGGAAATTCATGTTTTATGTCATTCAGAAATACCTTCTTTTCTCTGTAGAAGTAGAGTTAAATTGTTTCTCAATAATTGGAAAAGATTAACTCTTTAGAATCTCATTAACATAGACAGTAGTCCCATAATCAAATTGAAAGGGTTTGACTTTGAATTCCCCTGAAACTATATTAGACACCAGACTAAGATACATGTTAATTAACTGTTTGTTTCTAGAGAGCTAGGGAAGTCTAAAAACAATTTAAAAGCCTTAAGCTCACTAATTCTACATAGGGTTGATCTGTAACTGTACTAGCCTCACATCCAAGTAAGCTCAAGGGATTTAATTGATACCAAAAGGGGTGGAGGGGAGGAAAACAGTAGCTTAGCCAAGTTTGTCGATGAAAACAGACTTTATTTAACAGAATTCTAGAGACCTACAACTGTACAGCTGGCACTGGCAGGTTCACGTAATTTTTTATCTCTGGGAGGGGCTTGATCTTGCGTCCACCCCACCCCCCCCCTCGCTGCCCTCAAACACCAC